GAAGCCTGAATTAGTGAGTGTGAAAATAAATCTCTCAGTACTAACATGTTAGAACAACCAGAGAAACAAATGAAAAAAATCCAATAAAGCATAAGAGTTACGTGGACACCAGGAAAAGAAATAAATTACAGGTGATTGGAATTCCAGAATAGAGATAATAAAAAGCAAATAGAAAATTGTCAGAGGATTGCTGGAAGAAAACTTCCCTACCATCATGAAAGATGAGACGACAAGCATACAAGAAGCTGAACAAAGTCCAAACAGGGCAGATCCCAAAAGAAAATCACCAAAGACATATCATAATCAAACTTTCCAAAACCAGTCAAGGAAAGAAACTTGAGAGCAGCTCAGAAAAAAAGAAAAATTACCAGTAAGACTAAGTCCCAATTTCTTAGCAGAAACTACATAGGCAAGAAGGCAATGGAATGACACATACAAAACTCTGAAAGAAAAATATTGTCAACCAAAAGTAACATCAGCAAAACTCTCCCTCAAATACAATGGTGAAATTAGGACGTTTCCTGGTAACAGAAATTACAGGAACTGGTAATCACAAGACCAATTTTACAAAAAATGAGAAATGGTTGTTTCTTTGGACTGAGAACCTACAACAACAGACAACAACGTAAGATTACCATACATGACACCACTGCACAGAACTCAGTCCAAGTATTGTTATTTAATGTAAAACAAACCTACGAGACTGAAAATAGGGAACCAGAGCTATCAATTTATCATGAAGTCAAATAGAAAGCAAAAATAGGGAATAGTGTAGATATAGAACTTCCGAATGGCAAGGAAGTCAAGTAGATTTCAAGGTAAAACAGTTTTAAGCAGGAAAATACACATGAATTACAGTAATATCAAAGGAAATTAATATACCTGCACATTAAAATAAAAAGCGATAATCAACCAACACCACCACAAAAAACACACACCGCAAAATGATAGCCATCATTCATACCTATTGATAAGTACAATGAATGTAAATGGATTGAATGCACCAGTCAAGAGACAGAGAATGGCTAAGAAAACAGGTCAATATGTTGTCTACCAGAGACTCATCAAAAAGACGGAGAGTGTCTAAATGCCCATCAACAGAAGAATGTTTAAACAAACCTTAGTACATACACAAAGTGGAATATCATGCAACATTGAATAATGATGATGAATCTGCAGAACACCTCACAACATGGATGAATCTGGAGGATATTATGCAGAGTGAAATTAGACAATCATAAAATGACAAATGTATAAGATCAATGTTATCATAAGAAAATGGTTTTCTTGATAAAAGAAACAATCTATGACGGAGGAGGAACGAAAATATATACCGTCTAGAGGGTATACACATGTTAACAAGGGTGACAGGGCAGGAAACAAGAGGGAGGTTAGCAGAGGAAAGACAAAGGTAGGAGACACAGGGAGGATGGCACCAGTTAAAGTGAATAGAGGTAAATGTTGATGTTAGTACACGGAGGGGATTGCATTCACTGTAATCAACAAAGTGTATTTGTTGAATGTAAAAATGATGCTCTGCTTTGTAAACCTTCACTCAATTCACAATAACAAGTTTTTTAAAAATTTGATCAGATTAGACTGAAAAACAGTCTGGTATCCAATTAGTAGGAATTTCAGGAAAAAAAAAATAAATCACAGAGGACACTTTACAAAGAAATAATACTAGAGAATTTACCAAAATTGAATTATCTTTCTATAGGGAAAAGTTCTGAGTGCTGGCACACGAATGTTAAGAAACCCACTTAAGTGTACATTATTGTAAAATTTCACAAAAGGGATTCAGACATCCCAAGGGATTCACAGGGGTAAAAAAAGGGTGATGTCATCACGTACCATAGCGTAAAGCTTCTCATCACCAACAATGGAATCTATCAGGTAGTAGAATAATTCTCAAATCCAGCTAGTCCAGGATAAGGGGAATCAAGTTTCAAACTCGCCCCTAGCCTGAACTGAAGGAGGGAGATGGTGCTGCATTAACAGAAACTTCTCTGAGGGTGGTAGGAAAAGTTCAGAGACCGCTGTGAGGCAATGCAATGTTAATACAGGATCACTGAACTAGTTTTCGAGAAATTAAGATTCTAAAGGGAGTTACATGAATGTTCTCTGGCAATTCATTGAACATCCGTTTACTCGTCTTTATAGAGGGGGGCCTCAATCTGCATTGGCAAGAAGATACCTGATAAGCAGGTGAGATTAAACACTGAGAGTTGCTTTTGCTCTGTGAAAATAATTGAGCAATTGAAAACTCCTCAGCTATCTCATTACTTAGTTGGGGCCTAATATGTGTACACTTGATTAAAATTATCCAAATGATTCCACTTCCTCATCTTCTCCTTACAACCGTTCTTCAATCTGTGCCCTTTTTAAGCATTTTGTTACCTTGCTAATCGCTTTGCAAATACATAATTCATGGTTCAGTGAGGAACTGAACACTGAAAAGATAAAAACACATAAAGGTAAAATTTGCAAGAGTGAAAAGACAAATTGAAGCCAAAGTAGGAAGAACATTTGCAGTAAGATTAAAAGTAGAATCCATTGGTCAGAAATGACTCAATGAGTTTTGGAACTTTCAGGAATACAATGGGTTTCTTGTTTTTCTCAAGAAATGAGTTTACAGCTAGATGGTTCGAGAATAATATTGCAATCATTGAAATTTTAAAGGAATGAAGAATAAACTGAGACCAAAGAAATGTTGTAGGCAGCTTCACATTTAATGAGGGCAAGAGGTTATTAAATAGAATCGACTCGAATCTGCTTCAGCTAATTGCTGTTCCCCTTACTCTGTAGGATTTTTCAGCATCCAGTGAGAATCTATCTACATGCAGTTTCTGACTGAAAATGTATTTGTATTTACTTTTACTTTCACTGATTTGCAGGTTTTATAGCTTTGCTATATTTCTCTGGATGGCAATATTGGGACATTAAAAAGGGTCTAAGCAAATCCAAAAGGAGCTATGGGTTAGGTGTTGACTGCTAACTTCAAGGTTAGCGGTTCAAAACCACCAGCTGCTCCATAGGAGAAAGATAAGGAAGGCTTTCTGCTCCTGTAAAGATTTAGTCTCAAAAATCCTATGGGCACAGTTCTACTCTGTCAAACAGGGTCACTGTGAGTTGGAACTGACTCAACAGAGATGAGTAAGCAATTCCCAAAGGTGCTCTGGTAGCGCAGCGGTTACGAATCAGGCTGCTAATCTCAAGGTCGGCAGTTCAAAACTACCAGCTGTTCCGCAGGAGAAAGATGAGGCTTTCTGCTCCCGTAAAGATTTATAGCCCGGAAACTCTGTACAGGGTCACTGAGTTGGAACCGACTCCACGGCACATAACAACCACCACAAGCAATTCCAAAGGCAGCTAAAACTTAAAGCGTTCTGAACTTTGCTGGGCCTCTCAGTTATATCAGCTACTGTAATTCTTACAACCTGGTTCATCACCAAGTAGGACAGTGGAGACTAGCACCCAGGCTGACTTGACTCCAAGGACTATTTCTTTTCGCCATTTGTAATGTGCTAGAGGCATAACATGCAGAGTTCATAAGGAGAGAGTATAAGATGAGGCTTTCAAGACAAACATCTTGAAATAGGGGTAAGGGATTTAAGTTGCCATCTCTCATAATAATGCTTTTGCCACCTCTATCAAGAGATCGAAATTCCAGCAATGGTAAGTGGCTGAACTGGGAAACTTCACAAAAACTCTAACAAAAGGGTCTTTTCACCTGAACTTAGTACATTCTTAAAATATTTTGATCTATACATAACTTCTGGAATTGGTTGCTATCACCACATGTTGGCAATATGATGTACTTAAATTCTCCCTATGTTCTGTTTGAGTCAGATTAATGACATACCTTTTATTTCAGATGTCTTCTAAGAACCACACGCTCACAACCAATGTTAAGTGCAGAATTCAGAAACCCTACTGTTTGTGGAGTACTGGTGTGGCATTGTAGGAAAAACACTGTACTACTAACCAAAAGTTTGGTGGTTCAAACCCACCAGCTACCCCTTCTAAACTCTATTCAGCATTGCTATGAGTTAGAACTGACTTGATGGCACTTAATAACATTACTTGTTTATACAGACCTTATTTAGGGAAGATTCTACTTTAAAGATTATATTAATGTATGTAATATAATCCTGTGGCACTGTGGGTTAATGCGCCAGATTGCAGAGCTGTTTGAACTGCAATGTGGCAGTTCAAGCTCACCAGCTGCTCTTTGGAAACCCTATACAGGGTCACTATGGGTCAGAATTGACTCAACAGCACTTAACAACACCAACAACGATATAATCCTAAACCCTAAGTTTAATACTGTGGTGATGTGCCGATGAATCAGTTCCAACTCACAGCAACCCTGTATAGCGTTCCAGAGGATGTAAATCTTTATAGAGGCGGCAGAAACCTCACCTTTCTCCTGCAGAGCCGCTGGTAGATTCAAACTACTGACTTTGTGATTAACAACCCAATTCATAAAACCACTACACTACCAGGGTTCCTTTAAATGTAATAGTATCTTAAACCATAGGCTTAACACTTAAGTATTAGTATTTTATTTCCAGTACTCATATTCATCACTGAGTTAAAAAAAAATGTCTGGTACAACCTAGGGGGCTCCTTTAAAAATATTTTTTACTTTCTTGTGATGGAGAAACCACAGGGAATCTAAAAACCAGTTTTTATTTACTCCAAACTATTTCATTCAGTACACCAATGTGCACTGTTGTCTCTCATGCAATCTTGCAAAGTGTCCCAGGATTTCATTAACCTACACCTTAAGGTGCCCGAAAAACACCTATGCTTCACATTTCATTTCATGCATCGATGAAATTCTGCAGATTCTCCTAGTTCTAAAAGCAGTGATATTTATCAAACTTAGCATTCTGCTTTACTGAAACACAGGCAGTATCTGGTAGCAAAAGAGGGCAACAAGGTTTGTCTCATTCAAAATTTCAAGACTAAACAGCAATTTCATCAATGGGATTTGTAGTTTCCAGAAATCAACTACAATAAATGCAGAAAATACCTATGTTAAAATTTTACTAATTCCTAAAAAGCTGGAAGTTTGATTTTTAACAGTTTATTATGATTTATGTCATTTTAAAAACATCAGTCCATTAAACCATGTAGAAATAAGTATGCAAAAAATCTGCAAAACAAAACATACTTTAAACATGTTTAAGAGCGGATAGATTATCCGAAATCCCAGATTATTCAGCTGCTTCCTTATTATGCTATGGCAGCCAAGTAATCTTTAACTTCAGTTGGAGTAAGCCTCCTAAATCCAGCTTCATTGCAGATACCAACTTCTATGTTATCTTCTGTCATTTGCCCTTCAAAGCTTTCCTAAGAAGGAAGGAGGGAAAATGGTCAAGTTTCCAAGTACTTTTGACAGCGTCATTATAAATTCAATTGTTCTGAGCTAACCTTTAGGGTTAAGATGGCTGTATGGATGGCATCTTCAAGTTCCAGATCTTCATTATATCTAAAGAATTTTTTAAAAACAGTGACTTTTTAGTTATGGCATAGTTGTGTATTCTTTATGACTATTTAAGTACTGCTAGCAACAGCATGGCCTAAGTTTTTTGGTTTTGTTTTGTATCTGCAATGCTTGAAAATGGTAAATGACAGTACAGTGCTTATCTGTACCAAAACAAGTTCAACACCATGAAACAGAGTACAACCCCAAAATGAGTTTATTTTAGGAAATATCTTCAAATATAAATAACTTGATAAATCAGGATATAGTAGCAATATTATTAACTTCATATAAAATGTTTGGTAGAATCTTAAATATGTAAGTGAAGAAGAGTGCTTTAAGATCCTAAAATTATCATTATTTTTTGTACTATTCATCCCACATCCAAGATTTTTTATAATTTTAACATTAATATGTGAAAAACGTAGTTAAAAGGTTCATCTCTTGGTTAATGTCACAACGTCTCCACATTCAACGGATCAGATCAGATATTTTCTGGCATATTTACAATAATGCTAAATCTAGAATCCTACTGGAAACAAGTGAGTAGTTTGTTGTCCGCAGGCACTAGTAGATTTCTTATAGTATTCTACTTTTTATCATCCACAAACCGTATCTTTAGATCCACCATCAAACAGCAGGTATTTAGTTTCACGTTTGCTTTGCTTTCAGGGATGGAGAGGTAATTGCCATAATGTAAACTGTTGTCACTTAAATTATTTTAAAAAAAATTTCTCATGACTCCAAGTCTAATGTTTTCATATTTTTCAAATGGTAGGAAAAATGCAGTTAAGATTATAGAAAAACCTTTAAGAATTAATTATTATCACTGAATATACTAAAGGTTAGCAGTCAGGGCAAAGAGTTCTTTTGTTTTAAATGTAATTAGGTTCAAATACAGAAACTAGACAAAAATAGTTTAAACTCATGACATTACTTTAAAAATAGTTAGAAATCCTAAGAGCAGTTCACTGGTCTATCAGTTATAGGCAGTTTACCTTTTCTCTAGGAACGTTTTCCCGTTCACATAGTTCTTCCCCATTGCTGTGGCTTTCCAGGCAAAGTAGGCTCCCTAATCAGAAAAGAAAGGAAAATTATACGTGGAAACATTTGTATGACTTAAAATATATATATTGTGTGTATGGTAGCGTAGTGGTTACGAATCGGGCTGCGAACCTTAAGGTTAGCGGTTTGAAACTACCAGCCACTCCGCGGGAGAAAGATGAGGCTTTCTACTCCCGTAAAGATTTATACCCTCGGAAACCCTGTACAGGGTCGCTATGGGTCGGAACCGACTTGACAGCACTTAACAACAACAACAACATATATATATATATACTACAATACTATAGTTAAGGAGCAGACCTGTAAGGTCAGTTTGAACTGCAAAGTCGGAGGTTCAAACTCACCAGTGGCTCCTCGGAAAGCCTATACAGGGTTGCTATGTATCTGAAACAACTTCAACAATATGTATTTTAATTCAGCAATTAGCTCTAATTCCTAAAATGGCATAGTATTTATTGGGATGGAATGGAATACATCAGAGCAGGCTACTTCTAATAGAAGGCAGAGAAAGAAAAAGAGGCACAAAACCAATTTGGGGCTATATGGAAAAGCTTAGGATCTTGATTGCTGCTGACTGTTTTCTCAGAAGTTTACATCTATCCAAAGCACACAAAATTGTACACTTAAACGGCACACAATTTACTGCACATAAATTATGTAAAAAAAGAGCTAAAAGAAACTGAGGTTAATTTACAGCAAATAACCAAGTAATACTTAAGTCTCATAGGACTGAATGGATTTATGAGGGTGAGTCAAACATTACCCAAACTCCAGCGGTAGAATTTATTTTCATCAAGTTATGACCAACAGGTGGAAGGCCGACAGAGCAAGATCAGGACTAGAGGGAGGATGCTTTAAAACCTTAAAATGAAGGTTTTGCAGTGTCAACAGTGTGAGCAGAGGTGTGTGAATGTGCACTGTTATGCAAGATCCCAATGCCCTTGGATAGCAGTCCTCTACGTTTAATCTGAAGTTTAGGTTTCAGCTCTTCAGTGAGCATCTCACTGTAAGGAGTACTGTTGACTGCTGAACGTTCTCCTGGTACTGTTCCAACACTGACCCTTGAGATACCCAGAAAACTGTAAGCATCAATTTTCCAGCTGATGGTTCATTTTTGAACTGTTTCTTGGTTGGCGATTAGAAGATTATTTCCATTCCGTACTCTGCCAATTACTCTCAGGCTCGTAGTGATGAATCCATATCTTGTCATCAGTGATGATTTTTTTTAAAGAAACTTTTACCTTTCTTCAAGTATCAGTCCAAATTTTGTTTGTAGATGTCCATACACTTCTGTTTAATTCTCCATGAGTTGTTCTGATACCCATCGTGCACAAACTTCTCAAAACCCAAGTCTGTTGTGGATTATTTCATAGACAGAGCCAGGGCTGATTTACAAAGGATTTGCCACACAATTCACTGTCACTTGTCTATTCAACAGACTTCATTTCACGTGCATGCTCAGTGTTGTCATCAGCTATGGATGTGGACAGACATTTTAATCTAACTGGAGTATGGATAATTTTTGACTCACACCTGTAAAAACCTGTAATTATGTATATGTGAACATGGTAAATATTCATCACCATTAATTCATAATCAAGAAAATAATGGCTTATCATGAAAAACATTCCAAGTTGTTGATATTTTGTAATTTAATGTTTAAGAAAAAAAAAAGCAACAGTTGTATTTCATAAACATACAAATGTATGCAAAAAATACTGAAAGAAGCACATCAAGTATATTTTAAAAGAAGCAATTTCTTTTTAAATACAACAGAGGAAGAAAAAGAGGGAGAGGCAAAACCTGGAATCCTGTGTTGGTGGGTACTGCTGCTGTACACAAAGCTTCTAGAGCTCAAAGATGGGACAAAGATGCTATTAAAGTACCACAGTGTGTATAATTCTGATGTAAGTAACAATCAACCAACATATTTTCCTTTTCAAATTTAAGGTTAGATCATAAGGTGTAAATTAAACTGTAATTATCTAATGAGTCATCAACGTTTATTTTTGATCTAACCTATTATGAAAGATCAATTTCTAATCTTGATTGCTTTCTCAAGGTTCTCCTCATAGCAAATAAGACAAATTAGAATATGACATAATTCCTATCTCAATGCCTTCCAACTCGGACACCAATCTTCTGCTTTAAAGCAGACAACTCACCCAAAATACTGTCTACTTGATTTTCTAAAACACCAAATTCAAGATAGTCAGAACAATGTTTCTGCTTAAACTCTCCCACTTTCAAGTTAGCTGCAAGATAATCATATCTTTCCTTGTAATACTTTGGAAAGTAACTGAAGTTTATCGACGCAAAGAAATTTGGTAATAATGATTTCAGCAATGACATCACTCAAGTGTGTGAAGTTGACGACGTAACAAAAACAAGAACGGCAGAAATAACGTAGCGTATTGACTAAAATTGTAATTTATCCTTTATAAAGTCAAATGAAAAAGAGAAAACACTGCTAAATTTTAAACTTATATCTGTTTTACTAGATATTCAGAGTTCTTGAACAAATCCCCCAAACACACCTCAAGATACTTACAGATGGATCGGACTGAAATAAATAGGGTCGCCCCTCATTCCAACCACAAATAAGTAAAGAAACTCCAAACGGACGTACACCACTGAAGAAAGGAAAACGAAAATTACTTGGCTTCTTCTTTATAAGACAGTTACCCTAAAGGCAAAATTCATCAATACTCTGGAGTAAAGCAGTTATCAGGCAAACTGAATCACACCTCTTAAGTTCCTGAAAGTATGTATTTAATGATTTTCTGAATGATCACATTCACTCTCTGTGGTATGGAAAAACAACAGTCCAATCATTTTGCAATACATGGACTGACAGGGTTTGGTGTGGAGCAGCAATTAGTGTCCCAACAAAAAGGTAACTTTCAACTGATGTGGTTTGTTCACTGACTACTTTACAAGTCACCAACCACTTTTATACCAATTAATCCATTTTCACACCTAGAGTCCTGTTGTGGCACTATGGGATAAAGCACTGGACCACAAGATTAGTTGTTCAAACTCACCAGCTTCCCCTTGGAAACACTATACAGGGTTGCTATGAGTCTGAACCTGGCAGAAGCCATGTGACCAAAGGGCAGAGCGGCGGAGGACCCTAAGCATGAAGGGCTCACTGTTAAGCAAGGCCACAATGAGTCTCCCCTTAGAAGGCAAGGCCCCGAGAAGGAATCTCATGTGGAGGCTCTGCAGTTTCTGACTCTTTGTTTTAATCAGCTTATTTTTAATTTTCTTGATTTTATAATAAAAGTTTTCAGTAGAATCTTAGTAGGAATTATATTAGAGATTTGAAACTTGTTTTTAGGCACCATTACACCACATTCAATCATGTATAACTATTTGTTTTTACACTAACAATAAGTTTCACCACTAGGAGAAAACACATCAGCTACAGTTTTGCCAGTTCAAATTTAAGACTACATTTCAACATTCTGTGTAGTTTTGGTCAGGGACATTAAGACCTCTAGAAAATTAGCTAAGATCCAATTAAGGGATGAAGGAACAGTAATAGATTATAGGTAGAAATTTAACTAGATGTTTTCTACAGAGAAGTTGTTATTGTAAGGAAGTTGTTCCGTTTCTTCTTAACTACAAAACTTTAAGTGCCTTTTTATGTTCTTGTTTTTCTTGTTTAATCAATCATGAGAAACAACTATGTTGTCAGTTACCATAGAAAGTAATGTTTAGGTACATGTTGTGATTAATGACTCTATAGAAAATAACAGGTGAGGGTAGAAATAAGAGTTAAGATTTACAATTATGTTTTAAGGTTAACTTGACATTTTAGGATGTCAGAAAGATGGATGAAAAGAACTAGATATGAACAGACCAAGAAAACTGTTTTAAGAAAAATACCTTTGTCAACATTGTATAGACATAATCAAGGATGTGTAATGCTTCAAAGAAATTGATTATTATGAGATCATGGGGTATTGTAACAGTATATAAGGAGCTAGATAATTGAGTAAAAAGATCATCAAAAAACTTCAATCAGAATTCAGCACAAACCATCGACTCGTGTGATTTCTTTCGCCAACTCCACATCTTCCTTCATGAGCCCCCTAATAAGTTTGTCGGGGCTGGTCCTCGACAGGAACCAACTTAACAGCACTTAACAACAACAACACACCTAAACTAAGAATGAAGGAATTAAAGTGAATGTATGTCAAAGTGCTACTGTTTATAATCACTTCTGATAGGAGAGAGAAATGTGAAAGCAGTAATGATGATCTGTACATAAAGAAGTGCTTCATGGCAAAAATCACTGGCAAAAGAACTTCGTATTTCTAGACACTGTTTTTTTGCTGTTATATGAAGATCAAGAAAATTTTCACATTTTTTCTATAAGAAAATATTCTGGATCCAGGTAAGAAACACTCATCATAGTGATTTCCTACTCTTGTTAACATAAATGTGGATATATAAGCACTCTTCTTATTCGCACATCTATTCTTTTAAAATGGTTTGGATTTTTTCAAATTCACAATATATGACAAGTAAAAAGCACTTACCCTGACTGGGTGTATTCCTGCATCACAGAAGCTACTCTCTGTACCAGCTGTGCTGTGGGGATGGGTTCTTGGTAAACAAGGTAGTACTGCTGAGCTAGTTTTCGAGCTCTGTGTACAAGTACTCTATCAGATTAAAAAAAAAAAAAAAATTTAATTAAAACATTCTACTACCTACACAAGGAGCGCTGGTAGCGTAGTGGTTGCAAATGGGGCTGCGAACCGTAGGGTCAGCGGTTCGAAACTACTAGCTGTTCCGCGGGAGAAAGATGAGGCTTTCTGCTTCTGTAAAGATTTATAGTCTCGGAAACCCTGCACAGGGTCGCTATGAGTCGGAACCGACTCCGTGGCACATAACCACCACCACCATGCTCATTTTCCTTCTTTAATCGCATACCCACAGCATACGTTTTACACGCTGTAGGATAAGCATTGGACTTTGAACCACAAGGTTGGCAGTTCAAACACACCAGCTGCTCCTCGGAAAGCCTATAACAGGGTTGCTATGGGTGGAAACTGACTTGACAGCACTTAACAACAACAACCAGCTCAAAACCATTCTTGCTCTCAGCTCTGAGTCTACAGTCTTGGAATCCTACGGGACAGTCAACTCTCTCATATAGGAAGCAGATGAGTCAGATAAAACTCAGTAACAATGGACTGGGTATAGAATAATCAAACACATTTATAAATAATTAGCCAAGACATACAAACTAGTTATGTGAAATATGAACATTACCCCGATATGCTCCTCAACCCATTCCCTCTCAGCTTGTTCCGGTCAGTGGTAGCATACTGCAAGATCCCCTCTCTATATACAGTGATAACAAGACCCACAGGAGTGAAGCTTGACCACATATTTCAGTGACTGTTGCCTTTTCTAAGTCACATCTATGAAATTTGCCTCTACCTATCTTGTTTCATGGAGTCCTGGTGTGGTACTGTGGGTTAATGTACCAGACGACAAAGCTGTTTGAACTGCCAGGTCAGCGGTTCAAGCTCACCAGTCGCACCTTGGAAACCCTATACAGGGTCACTATGGGTCGGAACCGACTCGACTCAATGGCACTTAACAACAATCTTGTTTCATAAAATCAACAGAGTACTTGTTGAATGATAAACAGAAAGTTAGCATTTCTTTCAACTTGATACCCAGATGTAGTAAGGTAATATCATTACCCAGCTTTAATTACTCTCATGGGCAAGATAATTCCTCTTTTTTCCTGTGAAATGGAGAGAGAGTAATTATATGAGCATCTGAATTCTTTCAGCGTGATACACTCAGCAAACTTTGGGAACTGTATCTTTGCTCAGAACAGAAACAAGTAATGGGGCTGACTCTGGGGTGGGGTGATGCTGTCTTTCTTGCGTAATGCTTTTTACTGATGACGTTTACTAAACCACGCATGGCTTCTGTCATCTTTAAAATGCACTGATATTATTTTATGTGCCATCGAGTCGATTTCACTCACAGTGACTGTACAGGACAGAGTAGAACGATTCCATAGGGTTCCCCAGGCTGTAAGAGATTTGTTACAGGAGCTCTGGCAGCAGTCCTTAGCTGCTAACTGAAAGATCAGTGGTTCAAATCCACCATCTGCTCCACAGAAGAAAGAAGTGACCATCTGCTTCAGTAAAGATTTACAGCATTGGAATTGCATGGGGCAGTTCTACCCTGTCCTATATAGTCATCACATGTCTTGACAGCAGTAATCTTTATGGGAGCCAGGTCCTTTTCTCCCCCAAAAAGGCTAGTTGGTTTGAACCACCAAATACTGACCTATCACAGTTAGCAGCAGCGCACTTAACCAGTGTACCATCAAGGCATTAGAAAACTCCAAAGTCATTTAAGTCAAGCCTAGGATAGCAGAAAGACTGCGATCAGAAAGGACAGACCACTGGACAAGATATAAGAGAAGCATTGTATCTAGCTCTTCTTCTACACAGCGTGGCATGGAGCCCTCAGTCTTAGTAAGCCGTAACCAATAACCCTTCTCCTGTCCCAGCATGATCAAACTGAAAACAATGCTGTTTCCAAACAAAACAGGGATTTAGGAGACTAAAAGAAAAACATTTCTTGACTTTGTTCTCAAAGTACAAACAATTCATAAGATGATGAGAAAAACAAGAATAAATGGTATAAAGTACCTGTAATCTGGGCCCATGCCACTATACACCAAGCCTATATGCTTGGTGATTGGTTCCACTTTGTGCACACTTCGTTCATCGTACAGAATGGATTTCTGTTTCTTTTCTGTTGCTAACACCACACCATTTGCAGCTTAAAAAACAAAATACACAAAAAAAAACTAGATGTTTAGTCATTCAAAGACAGAGGTTCAGCAGTTTCTAATAACCATTGGTGCAATTGATGGAAATTCTATTTCCTCTAGTTTACAAAACTTTTCTGACTAGCTTCCTATGTTAAAATTACCTGAGGAATGGTACAATTTTTCCCTCACTGGTCATTTATATTAAAAAAATTCTTACAGCTAAAGGTACTAAACAACTTTTCATTAAATACTGTACTTATTGTACCCAAGGGTCCACATGCTTTAAAATAATGGAATTCTGGTCACTTGGAAAAATACAGCATTGTTCTTATTATAAAATTTAAAACTAATGATACAAACATAAAGAGCTTCAGTGATATACTGAGTGGGAACGCAAAAATTTACTCATTTCTGAAAGGGAAATACTCTCTGTGGGTTATTGCAATTAATATTTAAAAAGTACTATATTTACTTGAAAAAAATGTTAACTTCTTAGATCTATTACTATTTCCTTTAAACTTCCTAATACTCTAAATCCAGGTAAAACGAACTACAGAAAGTTATGTTGCCACAGCTCTGTACTCACAAATTAATTACTCATTTATTCCAAAAGGAAATCAGGGGACTATTTAGCAAGCATCTGAAATGAATGTCACATTAAATAAACATATTTTACCCTATCTCTGTAAATACCTCAAATTTAATTACCTTTAATTCCCACTGAAGGGGCTCCTCCAGCTACAGCAGCCAAAGCATATTCAATCTGGACAAGTTTACCAGATGGGCTTTAAAAAAACATACACAAACACAACATTACCGATATTTTCTCTAAGTATACAAATTTCCAAATATTTATTGTAATAACTACTCTGAGAAGAAATACACTGGTCAAACACCATTAATCAAATACCAGGGAATAGTTGAACTTTGAAACCACAGACAAAACATACAAGGAAATTTGAGCATGCTCAAACTGAAGCACTGATTCTAACCTTTCCATGCATGCTTTGTTTCACCTGCCTCTGAGCAGCGTTACTACTGTTCCCTCTTTTCATGCCCTTAGCAGTCTTAGCGGAGTTCTGGCTGGCACTATAGGATAAGGACTTGGCTTTAAGGTCGGTTTGAACCGCAAGGTCAGTGTTTCAAACTTACTAGCCGCTCTGTGGAAACCTCACATACAGGGTTACTACAAGTTGAACCAACTCAACGTCACTTAACAACATATCAACCTTAGCATTTTGTGCAAATTATTTAACCAGTGACAGTGGAAACACCTATGGTTACTTATTTGAAAGGGTTTTTATGAAGATTAAATGAAGCAATGGCTATAAAATCAATCATAACATTTTTGGGAACAAAATTAGCACTAAGTAAACACTGAATGGAGCCGGTGGCTCGATACAATAAGCACTGGTCTGCGAACCACAAGGTTCACAGTTCAAGCTTGCCAGTCACTTTGTGGAAGCCAGATGAAACTTTCTGCTCCTGCGAGGATTTAAAACCTCAGAAACTTTATACAGGGTGAATATGAGTCAGAACAGACTTGACAGCAAGTAACACCAAACACTGAATTAAGTATTAAGAACATGTATGCATCTCTTGAAAACCAAACAAAAGACAACACTTCATGAAGCACTGTAGGTTTTAGAAATTGAACATGGCCTGAGATGTAATAATAGATATTCTTCTCAACAAAGTATTTTTGTCTGATAAAACTACTTACAGGAGCCACAAGATGATTGTATTTAACAGATCTAGTTTTATGGCTACATACCAGTCCTAAAGTAGCCCAGTACTAAAGTTGCTGAATTAGAAGCATCAGAAATATAATAAAGCAATCTTCTTATTTCACAGGTTTAAAAAGAAGTTGTAATTTGTGCAGGCTGACAGGATAATGCACTGGTCAGCAGTTCAAACTCTGCAGCCACTCCTTGGAAACTCTCTACATTGTCGTTATGAGTTGGAAATGACTGATGGCACTAACAACTGAAAAGATACTCATGTTTCAGATGATCAATTTCATCTTCAAAACTTATGGACACTCCCTTTGTCATTCGGATCTCACCTCACACCATCCACTGCTGTGCTTCAAACAGATACTCTGAGACCTTGAGAGCCCATTTGACAAACTATCCCTTGAACTACAACACACTTTTCACTCTAGGCCTGGTGAATCCTCCCTGTCACATCCTCAGGACAGCTCCTCCTGACCTCATAGGAGGTTAAACCCCACTCATCCAGACATGTTGTCAGGAGGGAACAGTCGCTGGAGAAGGATGTCATGCTGGGTAAGATGGAGGGTCAGAGAAAGAGAGGAAGACCCCCAAAGAGATGGATCAGCCAGGTGGCATCATTGACGACGGTAGTGAGGTTGGCGAGGATTGGACATTGTTTCGTTCTGCTGTGCATGGGGTCGCTATGAGTCGGTTCTGACTCAATGGCACTTGACAACAACAACATCCATACCTAACCTACGGTTGCATTACATGGAGTTGGTTCCAATGCTTAATGACCCCATATGAGGTTTCTGAGTCTATAATTCTTTGCAGAAGCAGACAACCTGATCTTTCTCCTGAGGAGGGAGTGACGGGTAGACTTGAACTGTACACTTTCTGGTTAGCCGCCCAGTGCTACTTACTCTCAGGCTAAGACTTTTGCAAAATTAGCCTTCAACAGAACCTAAGCTCCACTCCTTAGTGTCCCAGCAGGTAACCTAACCAGGGAGTTCACAATCTCATGGTTGATTTCACTACATCCCCAGCAGCAACCGTCTTCAACGTTAACATTTGTGAGGATGGCACCGGACCCGTTAGTGGTTCATTCTGTTGTGCATAAGGTCACTATGAGTCGGAACTGATTTTACTGGCACCTAATAGTAACAGCCATACCCATATCTAAACCGATTTAAAGACTGTTGTTTGTTGTGGTCCATTAAGTCAGTTCTGACTCTCAGCGGTCCTGATTAGGGTTTCCAAAAGTGGCTGCTGGGTTTCAACTGACAACCTTGCTGTTAGGATCTGTTGCTGCTCCTACACACCAGGGTCCACTTATTTAAACTTAATTAATTAACTTGATCACAACATCAGTAGATAATTAAATTTAAATTGGATAATTAGGCTTTTTTCCTTTGATGGACATTATTTCAATGATTAGGAGCACATACAGCTGCTAAGTGATAAGTCAGCAGTTTGAACCCACCTGCCACTCTGCTTCGAAAAAGACATAGTCTCAGGAACCCTATGAAGCGATTCTACTCTGCCTAACAGGGTTGCTAGGAGTCATAATCTACTCAACAGTTGTAGATTTTTTTGTTACTTCAATAATTATACTATTTCTTTTTGGGTTGATCCAATTTCACTTAATGTTCAAGTTTTTTGTTGTTAGTTGCCATCAAGCTGATTCCAATGTTGCTGTAAGATGGTGCCACGTCAATTTCCAACTAATGGAGACACCCAAGGAGACAGAGCACATCTGTTCCCTAAGGGTTTCTAGGCTGTCATTTTTAGGAAGACCTGTCATGGTGCTGTAGGATAAGCATTAGACTGCTAGCCACAAGACTGTTGGTTCAAACCCACCAGCCTCTGCTCGGAAACCCTAAACAGGGTCACTATGAGTCAGAACTGACTCAACAGCACTCAACAATTTCACAACAGTGGTGCGGTGCTTAAGTACTAGGCTGTGCACCGTAACATTGGTGGTTTAAACACATCAACTGCTCTGCAAAAGAAATCTGTTTCTCTAAAGAGTCATAGCTTTGGAAACTATATGGGATGGTTCTACGAGGGCTTCAAAAAGCTCGTGGAAAAATCGAATTAAGAGTGGAATTATTGCAGACTTTCAGAAGTGCCCACATACTTCGTTATATAGATTCACTATGAGTTGGAATGAGGAGCCCTGGTAGTGTATAGATTACAAGCCGGGATGCTAACCACAAGGCCAACAGTGGCTCCTGGGGAGAAAGAAGAAGTTTTCTGCTCCTGTAAAGATTTACAGCTTTGGAAATCCTACACAGGGTCACGACGAATTATAACTGATTTGGTGGCACACACCCAGGAGTTAGAATTAACTCAATGACAAGTTTGGTTGTTTTGGAATCTTTATGGGAGTAGATCAGTTCTTTCCTCCCAAAGAGGTCAATGGGTGGGTTTGAACTGCAACCTTTCAGTTAGCAGTCAAGTGCTTACCCTGTAAAAGCTCAGGCAAAGTAAAGGGCTCCCTTTTCTTTGCTCCTGCAGTCATCTGTAAATAACTTCTGCCACTTGCACCTTTCAAAGTGCAAATAATGATTTGGCACACTAACACTGGCGCTCAATGAATAAGGCACCTAGGGCATATTGGTACATATTCAATCATGCCACGACCCCTCATTTCACAGCATCAGCATCTCTACCCAATATAAAAAAAATGTGTCTTCTAACTACTTTTGTTTTTGTATCATGTCACCTCCTCATTAAATCCTGAAATAACAGGCTAGCTACAACAGTTGAATTCATCATGTTAAAAATTAAATGAACTCATCTCAAAATGAGGAAGTTTATTTTCATAAAGAAATTTATAAAAAGATTCAGTCCCTGACAATGTATGTTTTAGCCCCACCAGGATTACACTTTCTTGCAGAGAATGAACATTTGCTTTGCTCCCTAATATCTAGGTGTGTTATATTGTTCACATTATAGTATATGATAAGGCCTTTCATTGTAGAATTAATTTCATTCAAAGGTTAAAACAGAAACCTATTAGATACACTCAGTTGTTACTGAAAATGTTTACAAGGATTTTTTTTTTTAAGGATTTTAAGAAGACCACATAATGTAACGTAAAGTGCATTAATTTGTCGTCAAAGAGAATCCAATTTGAAATGCACATTCAGGTACTCATTGGTGATTTTGGTCAAGGTCTCTGAGCTGGGGTTCTCTCATCTGTAAAATGTTGGGATAACATGGATTATAGGCAGCTGTGGAAAGAAGGCGGCGTAAATAAGTTGAATTCACACACCGAATCCTTTCCTAGTTGATTACATCCTTCAGTGACTATTTTCTTACACTGAGAATGATTCATCTCAACTGTACTTTGAAAAACACAACTATTAACTTTAATCCCTTGTTCAATAATGGAAAAGTCCATAATCTTTTAATAGTAATATAGCCCCAACCAAGAAAAATGGCCAAATCTCACTTCGAGCCTCAGAATTTAGGGCCCGCAAAGCACTATGTGACAGAATGACTAACACTTTCATTTCTGGTCTGTGTGCTTTGAATAAAGTCATAGAAGAAACCGAAAGCTGCAGGTTTCAATAAAAAGCTAGTGCCAACAGAAGACTTAAGACTCCAACCAAACTGACCATGAGGATTTCGGAGAAAAAGATTCGACCCAAACTCCCAGTTTCAAGCGCTCCTGTGTCGGGCCTACTTGGCTGGGTCAGGAAGGAAATCCTGAGTTCTGAAAGGACCCCGGAGATTTCTAGTCCTAAACTACTTTCCCCCAAAGGAAAGCGAATCTCTGGCTGTAACGTCCTCCTCCCGTTGCCCCAGGTAACCCGAACTCCCGCAGCCCGCGTCCCCTCCGCCTGCCGCGACCGCAGCTTCCAGCCTGGCTCGGCAAATGACTTTGCAAAGCTGCATTCCCATCTCCATTCTCTAATGGATCTTCCGGACACCCCAGGCCAAAGGCCAGAACGGACCACAGGGGACCGCTAGAGATCCTGTAACCTCGGCTACACGGAGGACCTTGGGGCTCCCTTCCATACCTGAATGTTGTCAGCGAAAAGCTGTAACCACGTTCCGCCATCTTTACCTGGAGAGCCAAGGCAAATCGCACACATGCGCACTACGACCCGTCTCTCACCATTTCCTGTCCCCGCTTCTTTTCCTTTCTCACTTTTTGATTGGAGGAGAGGCAGAGTCTCTCCAGGCATGCTGGGCATTGTAGTTCTAGGAGCTGGTTCGCCACGGCTCTGCGTCTGTGCGCATGCGCGAGGTAAAGACCGCTCCGGCACCCCGAAGGGAGTTGTCTTATGGGCTGGGAAGATGGCGTCGTCCATGCTACTGCTGGTCGTTGCACCCTGGCCAGCAGCCCGGGGACTGTTTCGAAACTGTTGGGAGCGGTTGCAGCGGACACTTCTGAAGAGCCGACCAGGCTTTCTCGGCCCTCCTTGGGGTAGGTAAAGAAGGTCGCGGTGAATGAGGAGACTTAGGCAGAGTGGGAACGTAACCGATAGATAACCAGTGTATTGGTCCTGTATTCTGAAACGCGGCCCACGTCAAGGACGTTAATCAGATGCTTACTTAGAAACAACAGACATCATTTTTTGACATTATTTTCCCCTCGCGGGGGTTCGGTGGTCCCATTCGTGCGCAGATTGTAATCCAAACCCCATAGTTCGACATCAGGATTCTCCCCTAAATCGATCCGCCCTGCGTTTCCTTTCCAGCCACCCCCTAGTTTACGCGGAATGCAAACTGTCCTTGTTTGTGAAATTAGACCGCTGGAACCTAAGACTGCTCGTCGAGTGTGTCCGTCGAGAATTACTTTTAATCGGAAATTTCCTGGACGTTAAAATTGCCATAGCTTTGATATTTACATTCCACTCTCTAGTTCTTGCGCAGAGCCGAGCGTAATAAGTAGCACTTGGGCATAGAGAGCCCACCTGTGTCAAGCAAGGTGTCAGGTTGTTAGTTGCGGTTGAGTCCATTCCATATGCCGTCCACGCCGTGTATGCAGAGTTGAACTACTCCATGGGGTTTCCACAGACACAAATCACCAGGCCTGTTTCATGAGATGGGTTCAAACCGCCAACCTTTCCGCCCAACGCTTAGCCGTTTATGCCACTCAGGGACCTTAAAGTGCAAAATTAACCTTATTTCAAACTTCCCAACCACTCCTTGGAAACCCTATACAGGGTCGTTATGAGTCGGAATCGACTCCATGGAACTTAACAACAACGCACCAAACATATACTTATATGTCTGTACAAAAGCCCCATAGTTATCTGCGCTTTACAGTTAAACTTGAGGAGATCTCAGGGTCACACTGAGAGTAGCAATCCACACTCAACCACTGGAAGCAATACTTTTGAGATACTGAAATCATTGTTCAGTTTTAGCGAGCTTTGCATACTTTTTAAGCACCTAAAATCCGAGTCGGGCTGCCAACCTCAAGGTCAGCAGTTTGAAACTACTAGCTGCTCTGCGGGAGAAAAATGAGGCGTTCTGCTGTAAAGATTTACAGCCTCGGGAACCCTGTACAGGGTCACTGTGAGTTGGAGCCGACTCCACGGTACTTAACAACAACAACAAAGTAGAAAATGAGAAGTATTTCAAGTCTGAGGAACAGCAAGGAAAAGATAAAGGAATTGCTGATTTTATAAGCAAGCGGTAAAAAAGGGGAAATGTTCATAGTCTGTACCAGATATATGACAAGGGAGCTTTACCCAGTCCAAATAACGGGGTGAATAGGAAGTGTGATTTGGAAGTGCATTTTGGGACTCCCCAGTCTTACATTTCTTTGCAAAATAATTAGATACCATCACACTGTGGGTTAAAGTACTGGACCTCAAGGTCCATTTGAACCACAAAGCCAGCAGTTCAAACTCACCAGCTGCTTCTTGGAAACCTTATATAGAGTCACTGTAAGTTGGAACCAACTCTATGGCACTTAACAACAAATACCAGTTCACCAAGAGAGGGGGTGTGGTGGCTTCATCACATAAGCACTGGACTGCGAGCCAAGAGATCTTTGGTTCCATTCCACGTACTGCTCTGTGGGGAAACTTTTTTAAAAGCCTTAGAAACCCTATACAGGGTTGCTGTGAGTCAGAACCAACTCGAAGGCACCTAACAACACCATCCACCAAGAGAAATGTGGAAAAGTTGAATGAGTGGGGTTTTGTTTTGATTTTTTTTTTTTGGAGGCTGGGAGATGGGACATTTTATTTTAGATAGATAAACCTCTCAGACTTATTTATGTGGTGCTGTAGGATAAACACTAGACTGCTGACCACAAGTCTGACGGTTCAAACCAGTAAGCTGAGCTGCTCAGAAACCCCGTGGGTCGCTCTGAGGCGATAGCACTTAATAACAACGATCGCCTTGATTGAGTTCTGTATTTTATTTCAAGGTGAAATTCTTGATAGAATTTCAGTGATGTTGTTATAGCAAGTTCCTCTTAGGAAACAATCCCATTGTGTTTTTTTAAATTGCCATATGGCCTTTTGTGTTAGCTTTTATATTTTTTGTATATTGTATTTTGCTAAGTTTTCCTGTTAAATGTCTTTATTGAATTGAACAGATTCTAAGTTCAATACACAGATGATGTGTATTTTATGCCAGTATGTGAAGCTGTGAAGTTCTGCATGGCACTGTAGAGTAAGCACTGGAGTGCTAACCAGCCACTCCTCAGAAACTATACAGGGTTGCGATGAGTTGGGAAGCTGACTCAGTATCACTGTGGGTTGGGGTGTTGTTTTTTTTCCTTAGGACCAGCATTAGCAGTCCAGGGCCCAGCTGTATTTGCAGAACCAGCAGACGATAACAGTGGAAGTCAGGAAATTTCCAGCCTTTTGGATAGTATCTTTTGGATGGCAGCTCCCAAAAACAGGCGCAGTATTGAAGTTAACCGGTGCAGGAGAAGAAACACTCACAAGCTTATTAAAATCAAGGTAATGTGTTAATTTTTGTGGGTGTGCTTTTCTTCAGGCCTGCTGGTGAGAGTCCTCATGGGATATCAATATAGCCTATAGATAAATTACTCTCAGATTTTGTGTGTCCCCTCAGGTTATGCATATCTTGTAGCCTAAATGTTAGGAACACAGTCAAGGAGGTAATTTGGAGATGAGACAGAGTTAGCAGCTGAACACTTTAACCATTGTTTAACCAGGATGCCCTTATTTGGTATTAAGAGGAATAGATCACCTTTTTGCATACATTACATAGAAGACTTTTACGTGTAATTAAAAATATATCAAATTCAAAATCGAAAGACATGAGTTCTAGTCCCAGTTTTCTACTAACTCAGAAGTCAGTGTTTCCTATCCTGTTTCCCTATTTAAAAACTAGATTGTATATGATGAACTCATACAACCAACATTCTAAGAAGATGAAACTGTAAGATTTGTGCATCATATTAAAATCTGTTTTTAATTCACTTTTTTTTAAAGCATAATATAGATGTTTGTCCTGAGTGTGGTCACCTGAAACAAAAACACATCCTTTGTGGCTACTGCTATGAGAAGGTGCGCATGGAGACTGCAGAGATCAGAAGACAGATCGGGAAAGCAGAAGGAGGTCCTTTGAAGGCTCCTACCTTAGAGACTGTGGTTCTGTACGCAGGTGAGACACCAGCAGAGCAAGAGCAGGGCAAGAGGATCATTGAACGAGACAGGAAGAGACCGTCGTGGTTCACCCAGAATTGATAACAACAGATGTTTAAAGGGAATACCGTTATAGTAAAATATTTCTCCAGAAAAGCTAAGATTCTTTATTTTTATGTTTTTTTCAACTTATTAATGTTTTAAAATCATCAGTATAGTTGAAAACAGTCTTTTGTGGGTATAATTTGAAGAGTATATCATGAATAAACTAAATGTTTGTACTGAATCTGTATACACTCAGGCTTTAAGTGAACATGAAACTCCCATAACAGGAAATCATAATAAATAGTTTACAATTCATAGCAAGGATTGTTTGTTTCTGATATAGTTTCTGTTTGTTGGCGGTACACAAGAATACTTACACAAATAAAAAAACCTGGAAATAGGTTCTTGGAAGTCTCAGTATTATTTTTAAAGATGGCAGTTGTGCCCACATGGAAAGGTTTTGTCCTGGGTGTTGTGTTTTTAGCTAATTAGAATTGCCTTTTTGTGTGGTAAATTTTTAATGAAATATTTGCTATTCATTGTTTTTTTTACATGTACAATTCCGTGACGTAGATTACATTCAGTCTGTTTTTACAGCCCGATTTATGTGCAAATGTTATGCTAATTTATGTAGATAATAGAAATCATTCTCTACATTTAAAGAAATCAAAATTATGTTTATTCAGAATGTATCAAATAGTTCATGAAATTTCTATTTAATGGTTGAGCTATTTTAATAAAGGCAATGTCAGTGAATTTAGTGATAAACAAAAGCTGTGCTACCGATGTCTAGTATTTTTTTTTTAGTTTATTTTTCACTTTATCGTTTTATCTCTTAATAGCTGCCATAACTTCCTGACACTGATTCCACTTTTTCCTCTATCACCATCATTACCTGTCTACTCTGAGCTCAGGATTTGTTATTTTGTTTCCTGTAAAGTCTGTGCTTACCATCTACCATACCACACACCCACCCCTCAGGCTGTTGCATTTATAACCATGCTTGTTAAGTGCCATGGGGTCAAATTCCTACAGTAGCCACCTTATGTAGCACCAGTGTGTTTGAACTACTGACCTTGTGATTAGCAGTCCAGTGCTTATTCTACATTGTGACACCAGCCTACATCACTCTTTCCCACTGTTGTCTTGGCTTCATTCTTTTTTTTTTCTCTTGTCTCATTAGCTGTTCTTCTCAGTCTCCCTTGCTGAATCTTCCCCAATCTCTTAAAACTTGAGAGTACCCCAACGTTCCATCCTTAAGAGTTCTTTTAACTTTGCAGTGTTATGACTAAGTATCAGCTAAATGTTGATGTCTTCCAGTTTGGTATTTCAGGCATTGCCCTCTCTGGTGAACTCCTCACTTTTGTTTAACTACCTGCTTAACATCTCCATTAGACTAACAGTCTTCAACTCAACATCATCAACTCAGGCTATGTTCTCTTACAGCCTTAAACCTCAGTTTTTTCCATCTCAGTTGAAGCCAACTCCATTCTTCTAGTTCCTCAGTCTTAAACCTAAAGCTCTGTTGACCTTTCTCTCTGCCTCTCCGCACATCCATGACCAAACCTGCAAATGGTTCTATATTCAATATACATCAGAATCTTGACTGCTTATCACAACCACCTTGAACAGAACCCCCAACGTCTTGTGTAGAATATTAAAGGACCTCACTAAGGTCTCCCTTAAACCTTGCTCCCCTATATAGAGGCTATGCTCAACACAGCAGCCAGAACCCTTTTAACAAAACATCTCTCCTGTTCAAAAATCCTTTAAGCTCTTAAATGAAACCAACTTGATGGCACTTAACAATAGTAACATGTATATACATAGAGGTAGAAGGTGGAATGAAAAGATAATTAAAATATCCCCTTGTGTGTATGTGTGTAGCATCAGGTGTTAAATGCCCTCCAGTCGGTTCTGACTCAGCTACCTTGTATAAGTTTCAGAGGATTGTAAACATTTGCAGGAAGAGAAAGCCTTTTCTTTTCATTTTACTTTTAAGTGAACTTAAAAGATTTGGTTTACCAAACTGTTTATTTATAAACAATATATAATATGCAAGTATATACATACATCAGAATGCTATGGTTCTGTAGCATAAACACTGGACTGCTAGCCACAAAATCCACAGTTTAATCCATCTGCTCCTTGGGAGATAACGGCTTATTCCTAGTGTGGCGCTATAGGATAAACACTTGACTGCCAAATACAGGTCATCAATTCAAACCCACCAACCACTCCTTGGAAACCCTACAAAGGGTTAGTTACTATGATACAGAACTGACTCAACAACACTTGATAACGACAATATATGGGTCACCTGGTGCCATATAGGATAAGCAATGGACTATAAACCACAAGGTCTGCAGTTCAAATCCGCTAGCCACTTGGAGAAAGATGAGCATAAACATTTAAATCCTAGGACACAATACAGGATCACTGTGAGTTGTAACTGACTTGATGGCTGTAGGTTTTTGTTGTACTTTTAAAACAATGGGTTGCCATGGAGTCCTGGTGTAGGCTGTAGGATAAATCATGAGGTCTGTGGTTCAAACCCACCAGCCATCCCTTGGAAACGCTATACAGGGTCTTTATGAATCGAGACTGACTTAACAGCCCTAAGCAGCAAACAATGGGTTGCTGTGAATCGGACTCAGTTCTACAACAAGTACTGGTGACTTCATGGATGACTTCCAACTCCTTAGGCGGTGCAAAATTTTAGTGATTGACTACTTACTCAAAGGTTGGTGGTTTGAACCTACCCAGAACGGCCTAACTTAGACAAGAGACTAATCTCTTAAACAAGGAAACATCAGTACCTCAACAAGAAACACAAATACTCCAATTAAAAAATTAACTTTTTATAGGACATGAACAAACGCCGCCAAAGGTGGTCAACAAACATGAAGAAATATTCATGATCATTAGCCATGGTGGTGGTGGTTATAAGCCATGGAGTCAGTTCTGACTCAACCCCGCGTAGGTTTTCTGAGGCTGTAAATCTTTATGGGAGTAGA